ACTTCAAAGGGAGTGTAATGCCTGCTGCAGCAACTGTGCTGAAAACACAATGCAAAAGGCAGAACAAAGCAGCAGAAAAAAATGTTACTGTGAAGGCAACCTTACACTCCAACCTTGCTGTTACACATTGTCTTAATAGTCACTATATCATTGTTACCACTGTTGACATACACATCACCAACACCCTTGGTGTTCTCAGAGCACCCTTCAGGAGTAACCTCTCCTATGAAGGAGTCAGAAACACCCACTCCAACTCACATTGGGAAAACTGAGGCACAGAAGTGTGAAATGTCATCCATCACCCGAGGGCACTGACAGCAAAGGCAGGACTGAGCCTTCCGCTCCTCACACCTTCAATTCAACACAACACAGGGCAACGCTTTTCAGAAAATCCCTGCAGCAGCTCAAAGCTGGCATGTGGCCCCATTTGGCGTGGTTCAGCATACTCGTATGGGCATCTAAATATAAGGAAGAACCTCTTTGCCATGAGGGTGACAGGGCACCAGAACAGGCTGCCCAGGGACGTCATGGAGTCTCTTGTCTTTGGAGACTTTCAAAACCTGTCCAAATGCAGTCCTGTGTGATGTGCTCTAGGCAATCCTGCTTTAGCAGGGGGGTTGGACTAGATGATCTCTAGAGGTCCCTTCCAACTCTAACTCTTCTGTGATTCTGTGAAATGCTAACGCAAGGCCTGAAAGCAGTCAGCTAAGGGTGGCCCTGTGCCCAGGCCAATCTTTCCCACCTTCCACAGCCCGGCATGAGTGTGGCCGTCCTACTTCCAGCACTTCGGGGGTCAGCTCAGGCATTTGCAGGAGTGGATGTAAGGATGCAATGGTCTGCCAGATGAGCCAGTCCTCCTCTCTGCCTCTGAACCTAGACCAATAGCACCCAAGACAGAGTGAACATGTGCTGCCAGACGCTGTCCAGCACAGAGGAGAAAGCAAACTCGCTATGCCCAGATGGGCAGAGAATGAAACTTTGCAGACAAATCTGTTTAAGAAATGACCACTTCATCCTTGTGCTCATAAATGATCAAGATGGGCTCAGCAGCAGCACATGAAAAGGTAATGTCTAGTACATTTCAAGGTGATTTAGAGAATTTTGTTGTTTCCTGCAGTTGCCTAATTTACGGCACTTTCAGATAGACTTTACTGAAGTAAAAATATAGGCATAATCTTGAATTATTTTACAGGGAAATAGTTAACTAAAAGGGACTCTGATGAAAAAGTGATGCAGTGCATTATTATGATTTCATGCACAGTTACAGAGAACAGATGACTAGCTGCAGTTATTTTTTTCCATTTAGTCTCAAAACCATTAATTTAGGAAAAATTTTTGTTTTCCTATTGTAAAGTTTTTCCTTGACTTTAATGAGTCATAACAGCAGGCACATAAATAGAGTATTTTGTGCCTAGCAACCCGAAATATTAAGGCCTCTCTTGTAGTTACCATTGAAAAGCTGCATCACCTGTAGTACAAAATCATAAGCAGGGTATAGTAAGCTAGTGCAGAATAATTTCAATTTCCATTTATATTGTAAAATACTGTATTACTTGTCTATGCAAACAATTTTTTGAAGGGTGATTTTAATAACACTCCCCTCTCTGGACCAGAGAAGTATTGAAAGTCTGAACTAATCATGTCGGTCCTAAAAATATCTAACACAAAGGAGTTTCCAGTACAGTTTTGGAGAGAATGACACAGAATATAAATGCCTTTTTATTTTATTTTATTACACTTTTAGTGTCTTCTAGAGAGCAATGAAATCTCCTTACAGTTGCCTCAAAATAATAAAAACCAGTGTGATTCTCAATAGATGCAGTCAAAATAAATGGAATTGTCACTTTTTCCTCTAACCTTTTATTTCTCTAATTGAATTGTATTGTGCTGGAATAGCTTATCTGCATAACCACACACACACACAAAAGATTACTTCAGGGCTACGCTGCTTCACTCAGACAGAAGCTGCCCAGTGGAAGAGGGTATTGTGAAAATAACATAGAACTGAGCTTTCTCCAGTACAGATTTCTTGGCATTCCTCGAAACTGAGTAATATTGGCATTGTATGGGTGATGTTAACATTTGCCATCTATTACTCATTTTAAATTACAAAATTTCTAGTAATGTTCTCCCTCCTCTTATTTTCTTTTTTTAACGTTACCAGTTTTCAGTCAATAAGCAAACGAAAAAAAATGACAAAATGGATGCCATGTAGCTGTGTGAGCTTCGTGGTTAAGACTGGAGGAGGTGAAAGTCCATGATGACATATCGCTATGGACTGATAAGTGGCCCCACTGAGGATACTGCTGATGGTAGACAGTTGTGGCCACATTTGACTAGAGTCCTTGTCCTCAGGAATGGAAGAAAGTGGTAGCGATCTTAATCCACCATGTGATAATCCACCATGAGAGTCTCCAGTGGTAGAGTGTAGCAAAGATACCAGTGGGGCACAGTCTGAAAAGGAATTGTCAGAATGGACAAATCATGTAAAGGGCAGAATAAAGATGAACTGCAGATCTTTGGGAAACTATGTCAACGATATGAACACAAAACTGAGATGTGAGGCTGTAGGTTCCTTGGATAATTTGTCTTGGTATCTCTCAAGTTGTAGGTTATTTAAAAAACATACTAAAAAAATATCAAATCCTTAGTGTAATCTTATGGAGTAAGCGGAAACTCATCTTATTTGTGTGTGGAATAAGGGAGGAGCTGTGTTTGCATTATAGTCCTCAAAAAAGAAACATTCACCTCTGCTTTCATTGTAAGTAGAATGTCAATATTTATCTACGTAAAACAAGCTATGACCTATTTACAGAGAGAAGGAAGAAAGTTATCAAATATCTCTTCTGTATATATGCACATACTCATACACACATGTCCCCAGCAACTGTTATTTTTCAAACGAGCAATTTGGATGGTGTACCAGAGGAAAAATTAATTTATTAATGGAAAATAATATTAATTAGGTATTTCTTCAAGTGCCCTATAACAAATACAATATATAAATAGCTCATCATTCATTATGTTATTTTAATGTTTAACGTAAGTTGCAAGGTCTGCTGCTAGTCTTTCTCTGTTTCGGAATGTGGTTGTCATTGGATTTTGTAATTCTTTGCAGAGCTGATGTACACAGTTGAGCTTGCTGGTGGGCTTGGTGCTATTCTGCTGCTGCTTGTTTGTCTGGTAACTATCTACAAGTGTTACAAGATAGAGATTATGCTTTTCTACAGGAATCATTTTGGAGCTGAAGAACTAGATGGAGGTAAGGAAGCTTCTTAGTACGTTTCCTACTTTCTAAGCAAGCCTTTTATTTCTCTGCACCATGGCCCAAATTTCATTTCAGTTCAAGATGCTTTAACAACTGCTATGTTTATTTCTCGCTGCATTAGGCACTAGCTTGAATATACGATCCTCATAAAACACATTAGAGCAGTGATTGCTGAGCTGATGTACGTGCTGCTCTCTGGAGTTCCAGAAGACACTGATGTTTTTTAGATTTTTGTTCCCAACACTGAATGTAAATTACCAACATTGGTGCATTAAAGATTTTCCCTTTCTGTCAATACTGTATGTCAACTTCACTTCTTCACAGGTTAGGGAGTGTCTTCCCTAATTGTATTCGCCAAACAGGTAGAGGTTGAAATGAATCTCAATTTACTGCTTGTTTAAACTGATCAGTTTTAATAAACTGTACCGAGTGTTTGGGAATATACTCAGCAGTTGTATTTTCTTGAATTCATTTACTTAATCACTGAGAGAGCAGCTAGTGATTATTAAAGTTGTTCTGTGATTCCAGGACATCCAACATAAGGAAAGTAATCCACAATGCATGCATCAGCTTGTGTCAAATGTATACATGTATTTTCTTCTCTCTTTAAGCACTAAAGAAAAAGGTTGTCTTTGCCTCTAGCCCTGCTCATCAAAACTGCCGTTGAAGAGCAAACTGGGTTGAGCTGCAGGTTCTGATTAATTAGGTTTGGTTTCTTGGTTCAGAGTTCCTGACATTTTGTGCTACCACTATGTTTTTGGTGACAGAGCTTTCTTTTTTTACTGAAATACTGATAAAAGTGATTGTACAATTCAAGGTAATAACCTGTGGGTAGAAGCTACTGTGACATATTAAAATAAATATGTATTGATAAACGAGCCCTGGTGAAATCTGTCACCAATAAGAGAGAAGAATGGCAGCAGAATTAGAGGTCCTTATATAAGGGAAAGACTTCCATAAGATCACTAGGGAATGACCCACTTCTGCCTCCCATCTAAAAATGCACAAGGATTCAAAATAGAAAATGCTCAGAACAACAAGCCCAAGAACCTTAGAACATTTTGTATCCTTCTACTGGATTTACTAAAAGGATGCATTAATATAGCAGCTCAGGGGGGGAAAAATCAGGTTATTCTACTTATTTTACAGAGGAAGAAACTGAGGCGCAGAGGGACTGTGACTCATGGAGAATTTTGGCAAACACTGTTTTTGCAGGAGCTGAGATCCTCTCTTCTCCACAAAGCAGCCCCGAATTTAAATGGGCATGTTTACTCTCATGAACCGTGTGAATTTAATAATGGTGATATCATATTATGCAGAAATACTTTGATTAATAATTGTTTCAATAGATGTAAATTCATATTTCCTCTCTCAGTATCAATAATTCTTACTTCTCCAGCTGTAATTTATTGTTATCTTGAGTAATTCCAATTCTTCTGCAAACTTACTCTGCCAGGTGTTGCATGCTTGCCTCTCTCTCTCCTCATCCCAAACATTGGTCACCTGGGAACAACAATATTTTAAATGTACATTTTAAACAGTGTAAAAATGGCCTCTGAAGAATACTAGGCTGGGATGCAAAAGGAAGAAAAGCAATATCCATCTAGTTTATTCTTCTGACCAAAGATCATTTCTAAAGAAGATAAGGGATGTATTCTCCTTAGATGATCAACACAAACACTGGTAGTTTGGTGCTTAACTGCAGTACTGATATTACTGCTTAACTGCAGTAATATAAAAAGAAAAATACTATTTGCATATTCCTTATGGAAACATGTAGCTTCTACTGAGTTCTATATACTAGCAACATGGATAAAACCCATTGTACCAATGAAGTTACTGCAGCTGGACTTTTTCCTCTGTCTCTTTCACTTACAAACTTACAGAAGCAAGAAGACAAAGAGAAAATGCCCCACAGAAGACCAAGCTATGGCTTGTGCAGAAGTAAATTGCAGAAATACATTCAGATCCTTTCCTTTGGCTTGGACACAAAATGCTGAACTCTAAAATCTTCTTCTAACTGCATCTCCTGCAGTGCAACAGCAGAGCGCCCACATGCTATTCATAATTTACACCATGTTCTGTCATAATTCGGCAAAGCAAGTAGATAGGCAAACATCAAAATGTCACAGGCTGCCTTTTTTTTTTTTGTGCACTATATTGTACCCAGAGAGGATTTGAAACACTTTAAATGAGGTCCAATTAAAATTTTCAGTTGAAAGTATCTTTTAAAATGCAACACTTCGTTTCTTCTCTGATCAGAGAACAAGTCCTTCAGGACGTCAAATCTCATCACAGTTCCTCTTTCCTTTCCAAGTATTAGGCATGTCAGTTTTTCTCAAGCTAACATACATGTGTCTGTGGGAGGCATGGGTAAATTGTGAGAAATATTTGAAAACAACCCTTACAGGTAGTGCAACTTAATTTATTACTTTCTGTAAAGATATTGCAGATTGAGCAAATGATCGCAGCTGCTGATTCCTCATTTCTCTAACTTGCTGCTTCAAATTTCTTATGTTTTCTCTCATCCTGGGGACTAGACTACCCTTCTGGTTTTTTTCTCTCTCCTGCCAACACTTTACCTCAATCTACTGGGAATGGGCATTGAAGACCCCGTTTTTGCCTTCATGATTAATTCCCAGCTTTTCCTACTAAACGGGAATATAATCAAATCCAACTCACACTTGGATGCTTCTCCTCCCACTCTGTGCCCGTTCTTTCCAGTTGAACCCGTATGGGACAACTACGTGATAGACACTGTGTTGTGTCCTTGGGTGTGGAGCAACGTGACATGCCAGTGTTTGGTCAGGGAACCTCACTGTGAACATCTGACAGGTCCCCCTAGGAGATGGAGTGCAAGGGCAAGAAAATGCTTTGGCCCTTGGCAAAGCGGTACCTTTCTCACCTGAGGATGTTTGGCATGACCTTGCATCTCAGAGATGTAACTCAGAATAATCCCAAATCTGTTTAAGTGGAGAATTTCAGTTCAAGATGAAGTTGGTAACTTGAAGTGGTATGCAAACAAAGACCTGCCCAGTATTATTCAGAAAACAACAAAATTTTCAGAAATGTGTACTTCACTGGGAACTTCTGAGGGCTAGTCAGTGTTAAATGTCAGGCAACTTTTTTAGGTTTGCAGCTCTAAACTCAAAAACTTACTTTAAAAAGCCTTGTCCATGAAGTGCACTTTAAGGTTCAACACATTATTAGTGAAAGCCTCTTTTAGAAGTGATGATTTCTTCTAGTTTGCTTTACACTGAACTCCAACATGAGAGATTTTATAGGACATTCGTCCTCTGGGGAGTGCTTTAGCAGTTATTTTTTAATCTATTTTTATTTTCCAAGGATCTTCTCCTGCTGCCTTTCCCAGTTGTTAAATGACTTGATGAACAAACTAAGTACTGTATTTTAACAGAAGAATAAAAACACAAATCAACACTTACAAGTACCTGCAATCAATACATACCCCGACTTCTTTCTGCTTTGCACTCTGTGACCTTAAAAGGCTGTTTGTATCAGGAGAAATATTGGCACTGTAATAAGCTGACTTCCAGGGCCCCTGAAATCTATGGGAATTTTCCAAGGATTTTACCTGGGACAGCTTTCTGATTTGTCAGACTGCTCCTGCTCATGAAATCATGCAAGCATCAGTCCCCAGGCAGAACAGCAGTCACAGCGAGAGTGGAGAGCAGAGCCAGACCCCCTTCTCTAAGAAGCATCATTTATGATGCTGCCCTAAAGTGGACAGGAGGCTCAAAGTCACCACCTATTTTTAACTGTTTCTTACCATTTCAAGACCTGCAAGTTTCCAGCAGATGCACAGATGACTATATGCCAGCTTTAAGGTATACCAAGGATAAATCCAAAAGTCTACAGCTGACAAGCCGAAAACCATTGGATGTGGACAGATAGGAAAAATTACTCAAAATCATGAATTTATATATGTGTTTCCATTTCAGATTCCAGTTTCAAAGAAAGAGCATATGGTACAGTTAGCAGCAGAAACAATCTGCAGGCACCAGCCTCTACCATTACCTGGTACATTAGTAATCATTTAAATTGGTGCAAGTTTTTGTATGAAGGAATTAACAAGCAAGGGTTGAACACTATCATAAAAAAAAGAAGAAATTCTACATCAAGAGGCTGGCATTAAAATTGATAAGAATAAAAACAAACTATGAACAAATATGCTGTAAATAGTTTTCTAATTAAATTTACATAAATATCCCTTCTCACAGCTAGACTGATGAGAACTCAAGCTTTAGGCTCAAGAACAAAAAAAACCAAACACTGTAGGCAGCTGATAATCAGCTTAGTAGCTGATATAATGACCTTCATAATGCCCTTTGGTGCTTTTAGGTCCCATCAGCTGTTTCTGCAATGTCACACATAAGCTTTCCATGGGATCCTCAAACTTTTTCTCAGCTTTGCTTGCCAGGGAAACCATGGTGAAATGAGGGAAAAACAGCCTCTGAGCAGCTGGGGTGCAGTCAGAGAAGGCACACAGGAGCAAGGGCTGGGGGGTTCTGGTTTTCACTACCAGTTCTGTAGGTTGCTGCTTTTTTTTTTTCTTTTTTATGTTGTTGAGTTTTTACCCACCACATTGCTAAAATAAAAAAAAATGATTAAAACATGTCACTACTGAGCTTTCTAAATTCAGGAAATCTTGTTTGGATTTGGTACATGACATCTATAGTACATATTTCTTGACTGTGCTGGTTGCACTTTCTTAGGAGATGTGTTTGTACTGCTTGCTGATGGGAAGCAAATCAGTGCTCAAATTAGGAGATGGATGAAACAGTTTCTGCCTTGAAGTCTCTGTTGCATCTGGGACTCCTTAGGTAATCATGATTTTCATCCTTGCCATTATTTAGCTGGAAAAGGCTGGCAGGGTCTGTGGACAGAATTATTAAAATTTACATTCAACACACAGTATTAACATCAAAATAGAAAACCAAAAAAACTCCCCACACCAAAATCAGAACAAACTTCAC